ATATAATGTATGTATAATGTTGTTGATTGCTTTTGAGTCAAGCACGACTCATAGCTACCCTATGAACAAAATACCTGAAGCCCTTCTACAACTATCAACATTTATCAAAGTACATAGAGCTTCCGGATGCATGTTGTTTAGGAAGTGGATACCACTCCTACTTCCAAACCTGTCATAAAAAATATGTGTGTGTGTGTGTGTGTGTGTGTGTATTTCTTGTTCCTTAAGCAAGAATTTCATTACCAGAACTGCCAGGGGAAACTATAAAACCAAGGAATTGCCCCTAGAGTATTAACCAGCTTTCAAAGTCTACACTTATGAATGAAAATGGTAATGTATTTAGAGCTCTAAGACATTTTCCCTCTTTAGTCTCAATTGTCATTTTCACTAGAGAGCCTACACTATTGTGGGTATGTTTTTTTCCACTAAGATAAACTGCAGATGGGTTTGAAAATGCCCTTTTCACACTTGATTCTTAGAAGAAATCGTTCATTGACTTTCTCACTTACTGTTGTCGCCTTGTGGGCCCAGGAAGGGAGCCCCTGCGGGTTGCTTTGTAGCTTTACTTGAGTGGTGATGGACCATTACACACCAACTGGAATGTTTCCCCTCACACTGTTTATAAACTGAAACACTTGCTCCTTGAGTGCGGGCTAATTCTGATGTTGGTCTTGTTTCTTTCTTTCCAGTGGCAGCATGGAGCCAGCTTTCCATCGAGGCGACCTTCTGTTCCTGACCAACTTCCGCGAAGACCCCATTAGAGCTGGTGAAATAGTTGTCTTTAAAGTGGAAGGGCGCGACATTCCCATAGTGCACAGAGTAATCAAAGTCCATGAGAAGTAAAGGCCCTTTCCTTTCTGGGGTTTGCTCGGTGGTATCCCGGTAGACTGCCTTAGTGGTTAAAGCAGAGTGAGCCTGGATCATGTGCCGAGCTCTGCCACCTTCTGACTAGACTGAGAGTCGGGGTTGGGGGTGTGGGAGTGGGGCCTTTCCGCCCTGAGTCGCTACTGCTGACAGGGGCTTCCAAGTACACTCCGACTCCTAGCGACCCTCCCTCTGTCCCATGGAACAACACACTGCCCGGTCCTCCGTATCCTCACAGCAGTTGACGTGTTTGAGCCCATTGCTCTAGCCATCTCATCAGCAAGTGTCAAGGCTGTCAACACCATGTAGAGGATTTAAAACAACTCATGCAGGTCTTGTTAGCACACTGATTTATGCCGTTTGTGATTCTATGTTTCACTAAACGAGAAGGAAGTTATACATCATCATGTTCCACCTTTGCCAAGGAAAAGCCGTTTAAGGAGAGCTGAGAGCACACTTGTGTTCAAATTCTCCTTTCGATCCAGGACCAAGTTTGTATCCAGAGAGAAGAGAAGTGTGATCCGTATTAACAAGTCATCCTTGGGCTAAGAAAGAATGAGAAAGTTCAAGTTCAGCAGGTGTTAAACCGGCATTGTGTGTCAACTTTCTGGCCTTTTCTGACTTGAGGAGAAATGACTGGAGTGGGCTGCCCCCCAGGGATGGCTCATAATCAACAGTGTCAATGTCAATAGGAATCTGGACTTGAAAGGGCTTCAGGGTTAACCCGCATGATTTTGCCCACTGGGTTATGGTGTTAACAACCTTGTTTTCAGATAAAAGAAGCCAGGTGTTCTTCACCATGTTTTTGCCCACAGACCAGGCTGGGAGGTGGCACCCGCTGGCTCTGCCATGCTTTGTGGTTGTGGGATATCTTACAGTGAAATCTACAGAATTGTCATTCGATTTGTGCTTCAGTCAGAGAGCCTCTCGGCCTTCGTCTCAGTCCAGGGAGGCTGAGTTACCTTTGCTCTCCCAATTGCACAGGGGTGACTGTAAACTTTGAGGAATGGGGAGCGTTTGTCAGGAGAGTATTCTGAGAGGATGTTCGTTTCTCTCCAGAGACAATGGAGACATCAAGTTCCTGACGAAAGGCGACAATAATGAGGTTGATGACAGAGGCTTATACAAAGAAGGCCAGAACTGGCTCGAGAAGAAGGACGTGGTGGGACGTGCACGCGGGTGAGGCTAACTTCTGCTCTCTAGAAAGTTCAGGAGCCAGATAGGTAAAAACAGACAAAATTGACAGAGTAACAGATCCCTTCCTTACAAATGTTCTGTGAAGAACATTCTCGGGAATGTTTAGTTTGAATCGTGAAGACCAAATAAAGCAGAACATTTATAGAGATCCTAAACCTAACTGCTGGTGCCTTAAAGGTGAGAGCTGCACTCTCGTCCCAAAGACACGTGGTTGGAATCCATCAGCTACTCTGTGGGAGAAAGGTGAGAGTCTCCTCCCATGAGATTTCACTGCCTCTGAAAACCTGCTGAAGGGTCAGGTGTGAGTCTGTTCCGACTCAACTGTATATAACAACCACAAACCTAAAATTAAATCCCAGTGGATGCTTTATAAGGAGTTGGTGGTGTGACGGGTGAGTGCTTAGTTGTAGCCAGTGGATTGGTTTGTACCCATGTTGACTCTGGGGGTAAAGACTTGGCACTCTGCTCCCCTAAATATTATTCCCCAGAAACCGTGTGAGGCAGCTCTGTCTGTCCTGTGGTGTCTCTGTGAGTGAGAATCGACTCGATGACTCACAGCAACATCTCTGTTCTGTGGGTCTAATTTTGTTTAAGGAAGAAAGTCTTATCCAGGAATTATTTGTGGATTTGGAGGAATAATTACTAGAAATCCTCCCAGAGATGATCACTATAAGTACTGTTTGTAATGTTATATTGTATTATACAATTTTTCATAAAAATTGAGTTATTTTTTTTTTACTCAAGTTGGAAATAGCTTCCTGTGTCGCTTGATGAGTGAGGTCTTTACCTGCCCCTTGCTGTCCCGCAGGGTGCTGTCCCTCAGTGTGCTGTCCCGCAGCGTGCTCTCCCGCAGCGTGCTGTCCCGCAGCGTGCTGTCCCTCAGTGTGCTGTGACTTAATTAACCAGTCACTTTGGATGGGCAGTTAGATTATTTCCTGTTTTTACCATTGAAAACAGGTCTGTGGTGATAAGTGTTCCACTGTTCATTGCTGCATAATTAGTCTTTGCATTTTTAGCTAATGAAGCCTTTGAGTCACTGTTAAATGTTGTCGTTGCACCCAAGGCCATGCAGCTTCCCAGGCAGAACTGCTTCCTAAGACTTGTTCTGAAACAGAACTGTAATCATTAGAAACAATGTTTATATTTTTTTGTTTCTATCCTACAATTTAGGTTTTTGCCATATGTTGGTATGGTTACCATAATAATGAATGACTACCCCAAATTCAAGGTAAGAACTTGAATATATATATAATAAAGTAATGAATAAATTTATAAAAAGTTCAAAAATTAATCAAATTAAATACATATGTTTAATTTTCTTTTTCCTGACTATATTTTTAACAGTGGCGCTTTAACAATAATTGAGCTTTCTTTTAAAAGAACTGTAAAGAGGGAGTCTTCTCAAACTGTTTTGCTAGTTAATTTTGATGTACATTGTTTATAAGAACAGAATAAGCGCAATATTGCCTAGCCTTCAACTTAAAAGAGAATGATGTTCTATATTTTTAAAAATCATTTGCCCAAGGGTGGGAAGCCAGGTGACAGGCTGCCCAGTTTACTCAGTGAGTCATAGCCCATCACTGTTGAGGGGATTTTAACTATAATGCCAAATCCACTGCTGTCCAGTAGGAACTGACTCCTAATTGAGCCTCCATGTGGTTTCCATCCTGCTGGGAAGGGTGGAGGGGCAGGGAAAGCGAGGAAGACCCTCCGCGAAATGGATTGACACAATGACTGTAGCAATGAGCTTGTAGAGACAGTGAAGTTGACACAGGATAGGGCAGGGTTCCACTCTGTTGTCCACAGGGTCGCTGTGAGTCCTAGCTGGCCAGATGGTCATTAGTCATTCTGAAGTGCCGCCTGACTTGCTTTGGGTATGTGGCCAGGAGGAACCAGTCCTTGGAGGGGGACATCATGCTTGCGAGGGTGGTGGGACAGCGCAGGAGGGGAAGACCCTGGGTGAGATGGATCGATTCAGTGACTGGAGTAATGGGGGTAGGTGTGTTGGAGACAATGAGGTTGTTTCTGGATAGACCAGGGTTCAGAGTGTTGAACATAGTGTCGCTATGAGTCATAAGTGACTCAAAGACAAACCACCACCACTACCACCACCATAATGTAGCTGTTTCGGAAACAAAGGAGGAAGGGTCGTCTCTTGGATATCTCCTCTAGGCTAGCGATGACATATCATCTGATGCGCTTCTAGACTAATGTCTCATTTTCACAATCCTTTTCTGTGTTTCTTTCCAGTATGCACTTCTGGCTGTGATGGGTGCGTACGTGTTACTCAAACGTGAATCCTAGTGGGAGAAGCAGTTCCTGCCACCAGATTGAGGTGAATTCTGTTGAAAAGAGAAAAGTTAATATATTTGAAATGTTCTACTTTCTGTATAAAAGGACATGGCTACAGAGACGTTTTCGTCTTGTTCAAATAAATGATTCATCAGTAAAGATGCTTTTCCTTTGTGGTCTCTTGATTTGAATTCCCCATCCCTCCGGCACCCAGTCTTTGTGGCACCCGTGGTGGTCACTTGAAACAAGTCCACACCACTGCAGGCGTCCAGCAGGCGGTCTGTGGGCCTGGCCTGGGGCGTTGCCATAATGTCTGTCTTTTGAAAAGCAGATCCTGGCTTTTTGGCGTGTCTTTGAGGCTCGAGTGTTGAGGAAGAGCTCCATTAAAAGAGATGACTTCTTAATTAACATGTAATCTGATCAATTAACAAAGCCTGAAACTCTTTTAGAAGGGAAGGATAGATGGCATTTGCTTTGTTTTTTGTGGTGTGATCTGTCTCGAAACAGTTTGTGATGATGATATTTGAAAGGTGTTTAATAAATGATAAGATCAGCACATCTCCTTTGAGAAATCCCAGAAGCTGCACAGGGCAGGCCCTTCTCTCCGCCTCCGGTCATTTCCCAGGGTTGTCCGTTGTTCACTTAGTCACCTCTACACACATGCAGATAGTCTTGGATTCAGAATATCTCCCAAACACTTCTGTCCCCAACCTGGAGACACAAAGGCTCAGGCTGGAGGGAGCGCACTATATTGGCATGGATGATTATAACCTGAGGTGTGATCTTCACTGTGAACACGATAAAGCAGGACACAGAAGGTGGGGGTCGGGGAAGCCTCCCTGAAGAGATGATACTAAGCAGAGATGAAACGAGCCCTGGTGGCACAGGGGTTAAACACTTGGCTGCTGATGGAAAGGTAGATGGTTTGAACTCTCAGCAGTTACTATGAGAAAGATTGATCTGCTCCCGCAAAGATTACAGAGAAGAAAACCCTTTGGAGCAGTGTTCTGTTCTGTCATGTGGGGTCTCTGTGGGGCAGAATCAGCTCACTGGCAGCTAATATCAAACACCGAAAAAAATGATGGGCTGTGGGACTTGTAAACCAGGTTAAGAACATTTTTGGCAAGTTCTCAAGCTTTCATGTACATAGAGATCACCTGGTTATGCTTTGAAAATGCAGATAAATAAGCTGAGAGAACTCATGTCCACCAGATCAGATCTACAGGAAGCACTCATGGGAGTTCTGTAGATGGAAAAGAAAAGACACCAGTAGGCAACTCAAAGCTGCACATAGACAGGTCTCTAATAAAGGGAAATGCCTAGACAAGTATGTGGTTATGTGCTGCTTTGTCAGCACTGACTTACAGCTGACCCAGGGGGCTTTCAGAGGCAGTTAATTGCATGGGAGGAGATTGCCTGGCTGATTTGAACTACCCGCCTTTGAGTTGGAAAAAGAAATTAAAATCCTTACCCACTAGGCTACCAGAGCTTGTTGTTGTTAGGTGCTATCAAGTTGATGACAACTCCAATCGACCCTGTGAACAACAGACCTGAACCTTGTCCTAGCCTGTTCCATACTCACAATCTTTGACATACTTGAACCCATTGCTGCTGCTGCCGTGTCAGTCCATATTCTCGAGGGTCTCCCTATATCTTTTGCTGACCCTTCAGAACTAGTACCAGGAAAATTTAATTTCCACATGCAGAAATATGAAACAGGATCTATGTTTAATATATACCCCAAACCAAATTAAAAATGGATTAAGGACCGAAAGCCATCAAATCTTAGAACAAGCAAGGCGATGCTTGTTGAGCTTAACTTTCAACAATGGATTGTTTAATAGCAAAAGCACAAACCACAGAAGACAGAAAATTAGTAAACAGATAGGACTTTGTAAAAATTAAAAACTTGGTCATAAAAAGACGATGCCACAGTCTTCACAATTACTTGCTGTGTTTCCGAGAACTGGACAATAAACATGGTAGAAGGAGGATCGATGTCTTTGAGCTGTGGTGCTGGAGGAGAGTGTTGAACATACCATAGATTGGCAGGAGAACAAACAGGTCTGTTCTGGAGAGGGTGAAACCAGGCTGCAGGCAACGATTTCGAAGCTCTGACTCACATACTTTGGGTGTGTGGCCAGAAGGGATATCATGCTTGGAGTGGTGGAGGGACAGCACAGAAGAGGAAGACCCAGGATGAGATGGATTGCCTCAGTGACTGGAGAAATGGGATTAGGTCTGTCAGAGATGATGACATTGGCTCAGGATAAGGGAGGGTTCAGAGGTAATGTACATTAGGTCGCTATGAGTCACAGGCGACTTAATGGCATATAACTATGACAACAACAGTCTGATATGAGCATGTTACAAGGAGGAACCAGTCCTTGGAGAGGGACATCATGCTCAGAAGGTTAAAGGGACAGCCTAGGAGAGAAAGACCCTGGATGTGGTGGGTTGACTCAGTGACTGGGGTAATGGGGGTAGGTGTGTTAGAGAAACTGGCTCGAGATAGAGCAGGGTTCAGAGATGTTGTACATAGGGTCACTATGAGCTGGAGTCAACTCCACAGCACAGAACAACAGCATGGATGACGAGAGCTCTGGTGGCTTAGTAGTAAGGTCCGTGGTTTGAATCCATGAACTGCGCCACAGGAGAAGGATGTCACTGCTTCTGAAAACCCGCAGGACGGTCAGCTCTGAGTCAGTTCCGATTCGATGGCCCACAGCAACAAGACAGCAAAGATTAAAAACAAACAAACACCAAAACAGGCAAACAGGAAGCAACATGAAAGTTGACGAGAATGTGGGGAAATTGGAACCTTTATTCATTGCTGGTGGGAGTGCAAAATGGTAGACCCGATTCCAAAAACTGTAGAGTTCCTAAAAAAAGAAAATTAAAAATATAACTACCATGGAAGCTGGCAGTTCTTTTCCTAGATATGGACTGAGAAGACTTGAAAGTAGGAATTCAAAGAGACTTGTATACCAGTCAGTGTTCATTGCAGCATTATTTACAATAGCCAAGAAGTTCAAGCAATCTAAGTAGCCATCTTTGGATAGGTTAAAATGTAGTATACACATACACTGTAATCAGCAAGTGATATTGGCTACAAGTAGGGTTGGAAGACATTACACTAATGAAATCAAATCACAAAAGGACATGTTAAAACAAAAGACATGTTATAGGACCTCATTTACATGAAAACTCAAATGTGTAGAGAGAAATGTTTTAACAGTGTGAGAGGGAGAATGAATGGTAGGGGAAGGAGATTAAAGGCCCATCATTGTTGCTGTTTGTAAGTTGTAAATCTGTGAAAAGCTGAAATGGTAAAAGTGACTGTGATAGACGTATTTTCAACACGAGGAGGGGAAGCTGCTGAGGCTCTTATGTACAAACACCTCATGGGATTCGGTTCCTTGGTTTTGAGAATCAGGGTCATGATCACATGGGACATCTCAGTTAATGGGCGTCATAATCGGTTTAATGCTTCTGTTCTACCTCTTAGTTTGTTGGATGGTGCCTGGATTCTTAAAAACTTGCAACTGGCCTATCGAAGGAACAGTAATTGTACACTGGAAAAGTCTCTGTTCACTTGGAGGAACAGAAGGAGGAGGAGAGTCAGGTACAGGAGGAGGAAATGGAATGTGTTGTGGCTAATTGCCTTCACTAGCAACTGACTCTTTTGCCATGAGACCCAAGGAAATGAGTGGTGCCTGGCTACTATTACTATTTTGATAAAAAATTCCATGGGAGAATATTTATCAAAAGGAGAAATGCATAACAGATTTTAAGTTCTGATGGACTCTCAATTTTCTGGAGCAACAGAGAGTGGATGAACTCCTAAACTATTGATTGAAGAGAATCTTTAGTCTTCAAAAATATCTTCTTGAAATCATGTTAAAACCAAACCAAAAAAACCAAACAAAACCAAACAAAGTGGTGGTGGTAGGTGCTGTAGAGTCAAGTACAATTCATAGCGACCCTGTGAACAACAGATTGAACCCTGTCCTATCCTGTGCCATTCTCATCATCCCTGATACACCTGAGTCCATTGCTGCAATGACTATGTCAATTCATCTCGTTGAAGGTCTTCCTCTCTTTTGCTGACCCTCTGCCTTTCCAAGCATGATGTCCCTCTCGAAGGAATAACTTCTGTGCCAGTGTGGGAAAGAGATGTGTCCTACCTGTGCTCCACGTGGTCAGGCCTTCTTGTTGTAGGACTCCTTCTGAGTTCCCTTTCTCTTGCCATCTTCAGCCCTATTGATGCAGTGGTTAAGTTCTTGACTGCTAACCAGAAGGTCAGTTTGCACCCAACAGCAGCTCTGAAGGAGAAACAGGTGACAATCTACTTCCATAAAGATTACAGCCTTGGAAAACCAATGGGCAATTCCACTCTGTCCCGAAAGGTCATCATCAGTCAAAATCAAGAGTTGAATAGCGAGTCACTTATCATTTAGACCTTCTCTGCCAGCTGCTTCCTTTGAGGGTTGATGACTCCCGGTGGGAGGTTGGCTACCTGCTGCCACGCTTAATTTATTAAGTACTTCTGTCTCTCTCCCACCTTCTTCCATCGCTGTTGAGTTGGAATCAACTGACAATATCTGACCATGTATTGGGTTTCTGAGGCTATAAATCATGTGGGAAGAGATTGGCCATCTTCTTCAGCTTTGAAGCACTCATTGTAATGAGAGATTGGCCATCTTCTTCGGCTTTGAAGCCCTCCTTGTTATAATGAGAGATTGACCATCTTCTTCAGTTGTGAAGCCCTCCTTGTTATAATGAGAGATTGACCATCTTCTTCGGCTTTGAAGCACTTGTTGTAATGAGAGATTGACCATCTTCTTTGGCTGTGAAGCCCTCCTCGTTATAATGAGAGATTGGCCATCTTCTTCAGCTGTGAAGCCCTCCTCATTGTAATGAGAGATTGGCCATCTTCTTTGGCTTTGAAGCCCTCCTCGTTGTAAGGAGAGATTGACCATCTTCTTCGGCTTTGAAGCCCTCCTTGTTGTGATGGATCCTGCAGCGTCCTCACCCTCTCCACCATGCTTGGGTCTATTGTCCAGTCATCGTGTCAGTCCAACTTGCTGAGGGTCTCCTTGGTCCTCTGACCCTCCTTCTTACCCAGCATGATGTCTTTTTCCAAGCGCCCTTCCTGA